TTCTATTGTTTAAATTTTGATTTGCTTTTATTTCAACTAACTTGCACCATTAGAAAGATTCAAACTTGTTGCTGTTTTTTTTTTATTATTATGATTTTTTCAGCAGCAGCTTCTTGTATGTAAAACATTTGTCTGAATTTTAGATGAACCTTCCTAAAGATTATTTTTGATGTCGTTGTAATGCCATCAGTCCTGATAGAAAGAAAGTAATGAAAGTTTAATTTCTTTGTTTTCTTTTTCTGCAAAATGTCAAAAAAAGAGAGAGAAAAAAAAACCTGGACTCAACATTTTTCCAAATATGTTCCCAGGTGTCACCAGAACTGGAAAAATGTTCATTTAATGTCAACATTTAATTTAATTTAATTTAATTTAATTAGTTTCATCAAACGCAGCCTCTGGTTCAACTGAAAAGTCTGATTTCTTGTCACGTGACTGGATTGCAGCTGAGTGACTTTACAACTGGACCAAGAAGTTCAGATTTTTGTTTTGTTTTTTACAGAGTCTGTTTTGTGCAAATGCTTTATTTTTAAGCAAATGCATAAATGAGAAGTGCCAGATGAAATATCACAGATTTGGTCAAGTTTTCCGACACGTGTGACGTAATATTTGTTCAAAAAACATCATAGAGTTGAACATTTGCTGCGACATCTTGGTTTTTCACAGAATCTGCTTTGTGCAAATAGTTTATTTTCATCAGAAACGTGAAAATACAGCCATTTTTCCTCTTTTTGGCTCCAATTAATGACGTCATTTTGTCCGTTTTTAAAATACACAACATCCTTTAGCAACTTGCTGGCTGGTTTTTGGAATTTGGAGGGTTAAACGCATGAAGTAATACAACATTTCAGTCCTTTATGTTTTGTTTTTTCCTTCTTTTTCGAGAAACGCAATTAAAAAAAACAATAACAAAACCAACCGTAGTCAAAAAGTAAATCAAGTGATCTGTTGCTGTGGGACTGAGCTAGGCTAGTGGTTTCCCTCCGTTTCCAGTGTTTGTGCTAAGCTAAGCTAACGGTGCTACAGCGTGAGAGTCGACGTTCTTTTGGTTTTGTTTGTTCTGACTAAATGACAGACGCTGTTGTTTTCGTGCTGCGGACGGTTCAGAACACATTCACATGAGCCGTGGCTGGTGTTTAGTCGCGGCCTCTTCGGTTTCCAGCGGAAAGCTTCACATCGCTGCACCGCAGGCATCCGCAGTCCGTCATCTCTGTCCTCCGGCGCTGCCAGAGGCTTTTCTCAACACGCTCCGCCGGTGTCTGGCTTCGTTTGTGCTGCGATGAGATCAGCATCGCACGCTGCAAAGCCCGGCGGAGGTCAGTGGGTTTCTGTGTCGGGTTTTGGCCCCGCTCGGCCCGGACAGCTGGTTCATGGGTTCAGCAGGGCCACACCTGTCGGAGAGCAGCTCTGGAAACTCAGTCCGGATTCTTTCTGCACCACGAGAGGAAATAATGCAGCAGCTGAGGGAGCGAGGCGTCTCGGTTTCCCTCCGCAGAGCGCTCACATGCTGGAGATTCAAGAGGAAGATACTTATTTAGCACGACAGACTGTCAGCAGAACTTTTACAGGATAGAAAACTGCGCAAAACTCACAGTTTGCAGGTTTGTTTGTATAATCAGAGGCCGTTTTAGACGTTCACACCACAGCTGGCTGTTTCTGAGGCCTGTTAAATCAGCAGCATCAATGTGCTGCAGGACCAAACAACGACGTGTGAATCACACTGGGAAAAAACATCCTGTCAAAGAAAACCGTGAAAATCTGGCAGCAAAGACGCCTGAAAAAACAAGAAGAAACTAGAAACTGTGAAAATAACATCAAATAATTATGTTTTTAGTGGATTTAAATACAGGAAAACTCTCAATTTTACAGTCACGTGCCTTTTTATTAGATTCTC